CCCCAAAACCCCAAAACCCCAAAACCCCAAAACCCCAAGGGACATGATAAAATAACTTTTTGAGAGAAAAAAGATTATCTTATATTATCAAAAATGGAATTATTGGACACAATAAAGGATAGAACAATAAAGTTATCTCCAGCAATTAGATTAGATAGGATTATTTAAGAGTCAGGTTTAGGGGAATATCGTGTGGGAACGATTATTGATCATCAAAAACTTGAATGGCATTATAATTATTTAGATATAGATGGATTTGAGATATCAAGGGAAGAGTTGCTAGGCTATACATTATGCGAGCTTCTTCACCTCGTATAATCGCTTTAAGATCAGTTTTAAGTATAGTGTGAAATCATAAGTGATGCAATTATTGATGAGATCAAAGCCTATGTAAATAAGAGGAAAAATATCTTCAATCTGCTGTAGTTTGATTAAAAAGACAAAAAATAGATTTAGAATTTCAATAGATAATTTTTTGTGACACTTGTAGATACCTTTGGAAAAGTTAATAGTTATCATTCAGGAATAGAAAATGAGGAGCCAGACGAGATATAGCTTGTAGATAGTTTCAATTCAAATCAGTTTAATCCAATTAAGCCTAAAATATAATAATGGAGTAACTTTCCAAAACAAAAAACTTAAACTTAAGCCTGCATTGATGATAGAGACATTGATGAAATTCTTGATTAAATTGAGGGTCAAGCTGCTAATACAGATAGAGCTAAAAATAAATTTAATACATTGAACTTCATGGATAATACAACTAGAGTCAATTTAAGATCAAGCAATCACTATGGAGATGATATTGAAGAGGATATCCCAGAAGAGATCTGCGGTGAAATAAATGTACAAATAGATCCACCTACTTAGATTGTTGAAAGCAGCAGTAACTTTGATAGAAATATGATATTTGACATACCTGAATAGATGAATGGTGTAAATAAAACTAGGACAAATATAGCCCCTTTAAATCTCTAAACTTAAGAATCTAAGCTAACTCAGTCAGATAGAAGCGACCTTACCTCACTCACTATGACAATTGCAAATAGGAACACTTAAAACATCACGACTGAGAACTTTAATGCTTAAAACAGAGCATAACTTAAGTCTGAATAAATGAACAGAGGCATAGATGTTGAAAACTACTAGTTGATATAGGTATAAAAAAGTATTATGGCTGCTAGTAAGAATGTAGACATAGAAGATAGTTTAGAAAGAGATGATGATTATGATATATTGATGGATAGTTTAAATTAAGAACTAATGGGTTCGCTATTACAAATGGAAGTATCAGTAGATCAACTGAAAGTAACTAAGACTAAGCAGATTGGATCTGGGACATAAGCAGATGTCTATACTTGCTATATTAATGATGATAAAAGCAAGGTGTTTGTAACAAAAACAAAACAAATTATAAATAATCAGTAGATAGCAGATTAGATGCTAGTTATGATGAAGAGTGAATTCGATATCGCAAAGGATTTAAAACACCCTAATATCATTCAATATCTTCACTTTAATATGTTTAAGAACGAATAAAAGAGTGTGACTGAGATCAATATAATACTAGAATACATGTCAGGTGGCAATTTGAGGGAATATATTAAAGCTCATGAGAATAAGATCGATTTAGCTAAGATAAAACTCATTTCTAAGTAAATTCTAGAGGGACTTGCTTACCTGCACAATAAGAACATCATACATTAGGATTTAAAGCCTCATAACATCTTGTTTAATAGCGATTGGACAGTCGTTAAGCTAGCAGATTTTGGAATCTCAAATCGTTTAGAATGCACCAAAAATACAAAAGCAGCCTAAAATGGAACTCTCAGATATATGTCCCCAGAGCAATTAGATAGTAAACTTACAATTAAAATAGATGTATGGGCATATGGTTGCATTATAACTGAACTAGTAACTGGAATTTAACCCTATTAAGGAGTTAATAATGAGTTTCAAATTGCAAGATTGATTGATAAATAAATTTCACCACTTGAATATATTCGGAAAAATAACTAAGCTGTAGCAAATAAAGTTGAATAGCAATAATTTGATTAACTAAGAGAAATCATAGAGCTATGCTTCAAATTCCAACATGAATTAAGACCTAAAGCCATAGAATTACTTAAACACCCATTTTTTAATAGCTGAAGATCTGGAGCTGTTTATTTATGATCAAAAAATATTATAAGTAGTCATTAACTTTATATTTTGCTCTAATTGTTTGAAAATACAATTCTAATTCGCATTTATTGATAGATATTTTAATTACTTATGATTAAGCTAAATTTATTCTCACGGGGTTTTGGGGTTTTGGGGTTTTGGGG